CTACGTGTTCCCAATTTCGCATTTATATTTTTACACCGACAATGACAAAATTTATCGCCCATTTGCATTATTTCGACCCTCTGCGCCGCTAACCCGATGAGCCTGACTTTCGATAAATAAGCTTCTCTTGGCTGTCGCCCGCGCGCTTGCGCACGCACCAACACACGAGTGCAAATGCACAATAACTACGAGGCTTTTCACGAATTGAGTAATGAGAAAATTGTTAAGCTCTTGTTGCGCAAGCATTCTAAAAAAGTTTGGTCGCGCGAACATAAACTAAACACACAGTCTAAAAATCGCTTCTCGCCCGCTTCTCGATAATACGTATTTAACTCGCGAGTGAAGGAGGAGAAATTTAGATTAAACTCCAACTCGGAGGAGATCGAATCCTACAATACAATACTCTTTGTTGGACCATTGCGTCAGGAATTTTCGAAAAATTATTGGCAAAAAGATTTTGCAATAAAAGATTAAAGTACATTAGCAAGGGGCATGCCGAGAAATGCCCCGCGACCCGAGATATCGCGCAACGATTGCGCGGCTCGGGCGTCGGGGCCATTGTCGATGATATTCCAGGCCGGACCGATTAAAAAGTTCTCGCCGTCGCGTATCGGTCGGTCTACACTTTGCGGCTTAAAATTTTCATGTGCTTTATTGCAGCGATAGGGGCCGCGCGCGGCGTGGCAACGACCTCATAAAGCTCGCGCAGCGGCCCGCCGAGCCCCGTAAATCAAGCCTCAACCTAAAGTGTTCCGTTTAGCGGCATTTAATAACGAGGCTGGCCCCGAAAACCTGTCGCGATAATCGACAACCTCGACCTCATCTCCGAACGCGAGTAGACGGACAATTTGGAAAACTGCCGCAGACTCGCTCACGTGACTCATTTCCACACGGCTCGACCTCGCCTCACCGACGATTAGGATAATAATCCCCGACGAGCACCTATACCTTCCGCCTTGTCCACCACCGCCAGCACCACTGCCGACGCGGCCATACGTTATTGCACGGAGGGCTCGAGGGCGTCGATTTTCAGGTTCGCGGGACCGAGTGGTGAGCACTTTGCTGCTGCGTGAAATGCGAGTTAACGAGCGGCTCCGCGTAATTGCCGACATTGTATACAAGCGCGTTTAATAAAAGCCTCCCAAAACGAATTAGCTTTTCCGTCCGCGAGCGAACAGAATCGCGATTGACATCCTTGGAGGCGAGGATTTAGTCCCACGGCGACGCTCCGACCCCGGAAAATTCACGATCGACGCCAATATCCTCCTCCTCCGTGTGTACCTCCACCTTCGCCTCTGCCTGCCTTACCCTCAGAAATCTGTGCCGCGGGCCACTCAGACCACCCAACGATTGGCCTTGATCGCGATATCGAAAACTCGCGGAGCGGCCTCGCGATTCTGCTTGTTCCCTGAAATGCCGCTTATTTATTTTCGCCACCTTCCCGACTCTGTTATTACAGCGCGTTGCGAAAATCTGCGCCCTCCCCCCACCCATTCTTCACCTCCTCCTCCTCATACACCTCATCCTCCCCCTCATCCTTCGAATGGAAACCATTACTTTCCAGCAGTTACCAGCTTCCCTGTGATAATACTCGTGGGATAGACTGGCCGATACAAAGTGGCGCGTTTAGCTTGAAAACGTGTGCTTTTTGAGAAAGTCGCTGGCTCGTTGACTTTGATACCCGCACGCGGTAAATAACTAAACGGATGAGATGCTGCTCTCGTTGCGGTGTTTCTCCTGTGCAGCCTCTGGCAAACGCGAAATCCATCTTCCGGGAACCATACAACTTCAACTTCTCGACGACACGAACATTTGCTCTCTCACTGCCGCTGCCTCTGAATAATTTTTACTCCCGTTGCTCTCTTCTCGAAGAGGCAGAGGAGGAGGGGAGCACGAATCGACATTCACTTATGGCGTATCCAATACTTGTGCCGTTTCATTTACATTGGAAAATATTATTATCGATAATCTCAAAATATATATTCGATTCGGCGATTCCTTGCAGCCTGAAGATAGGATTTTTCTTTGGACAATGTCCAAGGCCATGCGTGTACTATGTTGTTTCTCTCTATTTCTATCTTTCTCTCTCTATCTCTCTCTCTCTCTCTCTCTCTCTCTATATATATATATATATATATATATATATATAAAAGAGTCGAACCAATAGCAGGCCAAGATGCCGCATTTTGCGAACCTGTGATTAGGGTCCTGGCGAGGGGGCGGGACTGTCGGGGGCCGGTTATTATATTTTCAAAATACGCGTTTGAAAATATTTGCAAGGTCGCAAGGTAAATTGTTAAATACTGTTGTATTTTTCGAAATCGCATTAAAAAATATTCAAATAATATGATATATTATGCGTCCTCTTTATTTACTTTTGAAAACTTGCTCATAGAGCCACAGAGAAAAAATGAGAACAAAAAATACACACTTGTGCCCGTGCAACTATATATATATATATATATATATATATATATATATATGATGGCGTGTGGCTGTCGGAGAGGAAAGAAAAAAGATCAGCGAGATGAAACGGTATGATTTCACTTTCCGTCGTGAGAAAGGCGAGAAATTTTGCTATCTCCGGCAGCGAATCTATCCGCCAGCAACAAAGTTGAAGAAGGCAAAGAACGCCGATCAAGAAGCAGATGAAGTAAAAAAAGAATATAAAAAACCTGAAGAAGTAAAATAAGAAGAAGAAGTAAAACAAGAAGAACAAGAAGAAGAAGATGAAGAAGAAGAAGTAGTAGTAGAAGTAGGAGATGAATAAGACGATGATGATGAAGAAGATGAAGACGACGGCGACGACGACGACGACGACGATTACGAAAAAGGATGGAGGTTAAGGGGGTCCAGAGCCGACGGAGAAACTGGAGTGCCGCCGACTGTAGCCGCGAGGCCCGGAGCCGGGCGTTTCCGAGAAATCCGGATGGCCTTAGCCTTAGCCAAGCGCCCCCGACGAGCGCCAAATCGGGAAGACGAAGGAAGGACGGCGCGAAAGAGAAAATGGAAGAGAACGAGCGGCAATTCGATTGCCGGCGGCCGCCTACCTCCCTCTGCCGCCTACCTCCCTCTGCCGCCTACCTCCCTCTGCCGCACTCCTCCTCGCTTCACTCCCCTCGCCGTCGCGTCCCTCCTCATCCCGTTCCGACCGAACGCACGTACGTACGTACGTACGTACACACGCAGACACGGTCGTCTCACGGGGTCGCTCTCTCGGCCCCAGCTGTGGTCCGAGTGTAACGAACTATCAACGTATACGCGCGCGCACAGCTAATGCGTTGCTGCCGTCTTTGTGGATTCTGACCACCGGCCGGGAAACTGGAGAAGGAAACGCCCGAGTCACGCGACTTCCGCACGAGCTGAAAACGACGGTCGTCAGGAATTTTCTTGGCTGCGCCCATTTTTTATTGACGGATATGTATTTGTGCCGCTCGCGAAACCACGCGATTACTGCCAAATAGACGTTGTTTGCATAATAATCCGGAGGGGAATTAGTGCGGAGAAAGAGGCTCCGCTCGGCCCATTCTCCTCCGCTCGGAGAATGACGATCCTTTGGACAGAAGCCAAGGAGAAAGGATGGAAGGTAGACTCCCACCACCTTAGGGGAATAAATCAATTAGCCACTGGGTAAAAGAGGTGCTGATACAATAAAACTACGTGACATTGCCCCTACCGGGAGACTTCCACAGCCCGGGAAAAATGGAACAAGGGAGGCTGGCACTGACTGCCGGCAAGGATACTACTAATACTATTACTGTTGCTATTGCTACTGTTATTACAAGGGGAACGATGTCTATCTTTCAAGTAGCACTTCCCATAACATCTCAGGAAAATACGGCAGCTACGTTATCACGTATCATCGCCGGCTTACATTCCGTTTTATTGTGCGTGATGCAGTGCGCAAGAAGATTAATGCCGAGGAGAATGAAAACGCTGATGATTTCAACTGCGCGTTGCGAGACTCGTAACAGCCCACGCGTATGCGCGAAAAATTGGAGTTGAGCGATGAGCGAAAGAGCGCCCATCCTACTCTAGCAACCCGTGGCAATTATCGTTGGCGCATCCCGACTCCCATACCTTTTTACATCCACTTCTTTTGCTTTTATTTTTTCTTTTTGGCTTTTCAATGAATAGGAGGATTCGTGCACGGAGCGTACACCCCAGCAGGCAAAGCGCAATTTAACTGGCGCCCCACTTAAGTGGTTATGTGACTTCATAAGCCGCGAACGTTTTTTATCGCAAACTTTCAAAGCGCGAAATTACAAATGAAATTGAGGAGACAAGACGTTTTCAGCGATGTTAATATCTCGCTATGCTAATGGCCAATGCCGTCCCAACTAAATGAATAAATAAATTACATAAATTTCTTTAATGTATAACATTTTGTTTATCGTTTTTTTTTTGTTTTTTTTTTTGCTTTCATTTTTCTTTCTTCTTTTGACACGCTGCACGTAAACGGGTCCTCGGGCGTCTTCGAACACGTAAATAGAAATCTATCTCGTCATTCCTCGATGCTTTTTAACATTTAAACGATCCAATCTCTCGTTGCATAATACAACCGATCCAGTATTTTTATGTTGATTTGAAATCCGATCTCCATGTCCATTAATAACAAGCTCATTCGGAGCATCTTGATTAAAAATCTGGTTAAAAAGATGGCCATAAAAATTGACTACGCCGTTTAGCCGGTCAGCGACGGCATATTTTACATTATTTAAATTTCGCCGGACAAGGCGATAGACAATATTGACTGTCCAAGTTTTACGTACCCCCCCCCCAAGTCCCAGCACAATAATCAAGTAAAATATGTATATAAAAAGGTTGGAGCAGAACTGGCGAGCTATATTAATTCGTAAGCTAAATTTAATTGATTGTCGAGCTAGAGGGAGAGGGATTAGGAATTGGGGATTGGTGCGTGTAAGCCTCTCCGCCGCGTCGAGGAGCAAGCGACATCCTTAACATAACTAAACAGCGGTGCTCTTAATGTTTGATTGCAGGTATCGCGATGCCACCGCCCCATAATCGAAGCTAGTGCGGAATTCCCGGGCGCGATGTCCTCGATCATGGACGAGGGTACGGGGCCCGGTGGCCCGGGCCCCTCCCGGTGTCTCCTCATCCTCCAGAGGTCCCTGGCCATTCAGCTAACGAGGGGCCCACCCCCGCACATCCTCAACTCCGCCCAGCACGACACCTGCAAGGAGCATCCTGCTGACGAGCTGTGGATGTTCGACAAGGGCTACAACCTCTTTCAGGTGAGTGAGGCTGCGCGTCGACGATCGAGCCGCTCTAACGGCACTTTACGCAACTTTGTACAACGTCAAATTGCACCTATCACTTTACGAGTATCTAAATTCAATGAAGCTCTAAGTGAGCGGCAATTGGATAGGCGATATTTTATTTACGGTCGTATAATGGGGTTCCGTTAATTCCGTGATGTGCCTTCGGCCGCGCTTTTATATTTTTTGCTTTTTGTTTTTGTTGCTTCTTTGGCCGAAAACTTCAGTCACTTGGGGCAGAATTAGAATTACAGGACAGGAAGCTGCGGGAATTGGAAATTGTCGACGAGATAACGATGACAATTAGCTATTCGTTTCTCGTTTTATGGCTATCGTAGTAATGTTTTTAGTGCCAAGTAAGAACAGTATTGATTCGCATTGGAAGACATTTAGCATCGTAATGTAAATGCAAAGGGTGTAATTAATTTGATCTAGTTAAATTTTTGAGTCGGTAAATCACTTTGCTGAATCTATAAATACCGTATTTGCTGCATCAGCAGAGATGAAGTTCGCTAGGAGAATTTTAGCGAGTTCGGCAAAAAAAATATGTGCCGAGTCAGCGTATCCATTGTTTAAAGCGGCATCGTCTAACTGCTGTTTAAATTTTTGGTTAAGTGAACAAAGGATTGACTAGGAGGAGTTATCAGTTTTTGGCATCTAAATTACGCAAATGACTATAACGCTGCTAAAGTTGGAGGGACAATAACGAGCGCAATCACTTTAGCAGAGTCATGCCTTATTTTTCTTTTTCTTGCTTTTTTCCCCCTTTGTTTTTTTTTTTTTTTTTTGTTCGTTTCGATGATTCTAAGCACATCGATATTCACCGTTTTTTCCGGCATTTTATTCTTTCTTCCTTACGCTTTTTCATATATAAGGCCATATCATTGTAGAAACGTACCATGCATCCATAAAAACACATATGGATGCTATTTTCCAGTTGTTCCGAGCAATCATTATCTTCTTCGTCTTCTTTTTTTTTCACTACGCCCGCTAGTACATTTATATATGAGTTTGCATGTCTAGTTGTGGGTGCGTGCTCGTAGTTTCATGTGACTTTGCTTTAACGGAAATAATCCTTGTATCTTAAGAGCAGCAATCTTAAGTAAGCCTTGAAAAGAAAGCCACTTTACTAATTATTTCTCCTAATATGAATAATTTCTTTTTGAGTACTTGCCGTCTGTCGATAAGAATCGAGTTGCCACTTGTAAGACTATGTAATCCGAGCCATTACCATTTAATAATTTAATGTTGAAAGGAATTATTATTAATATTTTATTTTATTTTATTTTATTTATTTATTTATTTATTTTATTTTATTTTTTTTGAAAAATAATTTACATGGTTCGACATTCGAATTTATTTATTTATTTATTTATTTATTTTATTTTATTTTTTTTGAAAAATAATTTACATGGTTCGACATTCGATATCCTAATGTCTTCTTCCGTTTAATATTTTTCTTAAATTAATTCCGCGCTTGCAACGAAATTTTCTAATACATGGCTATATGTATTTATGTAACAGTTATATACTCGTCGATCATTAATCCTGTCAAACAAAAATCTTATTGATATCTTGTTCCCTTAACATAAACATCGTAAAGATTAACATAATGATCAAATCATTGACACTTATTATAACAGCCAATATTTTTCCAACATTATTTTTCCAATATTTCCATACGGAAGAATCGCGACCACAATTAGCCCAAGCCTACTTTATTTAGAATTTTCTTTTTAACTCGGCAATTCTTATATTATACGAATTGTTAAAGTACATTTTATGACGGTGCGCAATCTTGTGAAAGTACTTTTGTACGTGGATGGGAAAGAAAAATATCAAGTAGACAGTAAAAATCATTATATCCTGTAGCAGTCGAATAAGGGGCGAAATAAAGCTGTTTTTATCACGATCATCGCCTAAATAAATATACACAATCCTACATGTTTAATACGAGCGCCCTTTAGTTCGAGCGTGATATAAGTAAAAATTTTCAAATTAATAGCTATAATTAATTAGAGATGTATTTCATTAAAGCTTATTGAAAAAGCGTCTAAAAAGCGAGAGTTAATCGACGATGAAGAATAAGCATCGATTTTACGAAATATCATAAATACATGATCGACGATATTGTAAATGAATCATCGATAAATGAAATAAATATTAATAAATAATTATCTCAAATAATTACGTTCAATAATTTATATTGTGTTGTTTATGAAGCGTGCGATTAATATTCGAGAAATTTGTGGAGGCCATGTCGGAATAATGCAAACACAATACGTAATCAATGTATCCTGTATTAGAAAGAAAATCGTGTGCATCTGGCATTGAGGCTAAGACTACAAGTAATTCGACAATGTTCCAACTTACATATTCGCTTAGCAATCCTAAAATTATATTGCAATTGCATTCTACACCAAGGTTCGCAGCAATATCGGCTCTCCCACAAACTCGTATTTGTGCCTTGTCTTGCCTCAATTATCTATAAATGCCTATAATATTAAATTCAAAGTAGACGTTCACTTTATTTCTACTTGTATACAATTGAAACATTAATAATTCCGAATTCGTATAGTCCTGCATAAAGATTTATTTTATCTCTTAGGAAATTCTCTTTGAACGTAACTCAATTGCAAACTCATCAACTTTGAACGACTGTATTTATTAACTCGGTGAAATTAATTATTTTATATGTGAAAATAAGAATGGAGAATAAGTAATGTTGATTAATCCTCACCTATTTTGTCGCATTGAGAATCAGCAACGGAGATACGGCATTCAGTTTAAAATAAAATCAATGATAAATAGTTTAAGAACCAAGGAGAATGAGCTCTCATTGCATTATCGTAATTTATTAAGACTATACAGTCTATTTATAAATTAAAATTGAGCGTTTTACAAAATTTTGCTCCTTATGTAAAAGATGAAATACAGAGATCACGAAGATGAGGGCAAAATGAGATTTAGTGATTGTGTTAAAAGTGCTTTGTCTCTCTTTAGCCAAAGAACAAGATAATATAAGAAATGTTCACGATTGGAAAGTATTTGCGATGGAAATTGAGAGAAAAATGTAAATAAACGAGAAATTTGTAACTCACTACCTTCCAATCAATATCCTTTTTATGAAATTAAAAACGATTTTGCTAAGAGAATACACAGAGACGCTGTTAACAGCTATAGTTTTTACTCTCGTACGTTTTAATCTTTATTACGATTTGTGAAGACAGAGTTCGACTGGCCTCAAATTTACGTCTCGTGAGGCGCACATTATTACAAATTAACGGTCAAGGTAAAAAGATTTGGAATACGCGTATACTATCGTATATTTATCGGTAATAATATTTATTTCCAGCATAAATTTTGAATAATTATAGGAGGAAGGAAAGACGCTTTGAGACTGCTGAGCCCATTACTTCGACCCGATTCGCTCCGCGCCACAGATTTAAATCAGTGAATAGTCACCGAGTTACAGTTAAAGACATGTGGCTCGCGCCGATTCCGATTAAGTGAGTGTTACATACATTTGCAGTGCGCTGTAAAGAAGCTGTTTGCATTCATTAACAGTTAACGATATTCAATAACTGTTAATAAATAATCTTAACACAGTTATCGAACAATCTCCCCGGGGTAACGAGTATCCGCAGTACAATACATTGCCCTCTGCCACTTCACTCGCTCACTCTCTCTCTCTCTTTCTCTCTCTCTCTCTCTCTTTGTCTCTCTCTCTCTCTCTCTCTCTTTCTCTCTGATTATCTTACCCTCCCCCTCCCAATCTTTCTTAAACATCGTGCCAAATGTTTTAGTCGTAGTGGCGTCGGCCTCTTGGCACGAGCCGATCACCAATCTCGCGCAATTTATTACCTCCTTCCAACTGCCAGTGGATATCAATGGATTGCACTCGCACATGGAACAATTCACTTGCGTAAATACCTTTGTGGCTTTAAAATGCCTATGCATCAATGCGACTCGAGCCAAAAAACGGTCCTCCGCACGGGAGTTACGTGTCACTGGGTGCTGGCCGTAGCCCGAGACCCGTTAAACCGCAGCCTTCGCTGATTAGTCGTACCGTTATGCCGACGGCGGCGGCTCGCACGAATACAATAAATTACCCGCGCTTACCCAAGGTAAACTCGTTCGACATTAATGCGTCGCGATCCCGCCCCTCTCCCAAACCCACTCCCCACACTCGCCCCCAACAAACACTCGTCGTACACTCCCTCCCTTAGCATCTTAGAGTCGAAACCCTCGGCGCTGGCTTTCCGCGGCCACGAAAAGTTCATAATAAAGTAGAACGCGGATTTATCGGAGGTGGCTCGAGAGCCCTTCGTGGCCCACACTCGATCCTTTATTCCACGCTGATACGCTGGAACGTCGAATAATAGAGCGCTACGACGATCGATCGGTCTCCCGCCGAAAATTACGAGAGACACTCACGTTAACCCGATTATACGAAAGCTCCGTCACTCATCGCGGCCACATAAATCAATAACGAAATCTAGCTCGGAGGCTGGCTGTCGACTCTGCATTATGCTTATGATAAATAAGACAATTAGACGGGGAGGGGGACATAGTCTAGTCGCTATATACGCCCGAATGAATAAACGCGAGCCTTGGAATAGGCGTACACCTTGAGCGCACGCACGCGCGCGCACACCTACAATCTCGTGCGCTCATGAATGTATAAAATCTAGTTTTACGTTTAAGAGTCGGCTGGCGCTGTATATTTGCTGCTGTAACGGCGATAATCTCGCATTGCCAACTTACCTGGAAATTACAGTCGCGAGGTAGCGCGCGAATTCAGCGAAAAAACAATAACGGCTACTTAATAATCCAATGGCTCGTTAATCGTGCGATTCTGCGCCGTCAGTTGGAGTGCTCGATGAGCGAATAAACTGTAAGAGAAAAGAAAAACTGAAGACGTGGACGCGTTTGCCAATACAATTAAGCTGCGCTTTTTGCTAGTGTGGCCTTAG